AAATGATGACAGAATTTGAATTTTTGGGTGAACTATCCCTTTAAATATGTAGAATTCACAACAGCGACGTTCAATATGTGCTCAAAACTGGATGTATATATTTGTAAGGCATATTGACACATGCACATGATCTATGTACATCAGGTCATGCATTTTTCAGCCTTGCTTGACATAGTTATATTGATATGGAATGCTGAAAGTTGAAAGTGTAATGACCATGAGATAATATTGGCTCCTAAAGTATTAGCGTAGTTGCATTTACATGACCAATTGATTAACTTTTGTCTTTTAATTCCCACGGGCAGTACTTTAGCCCCTATGTTTCAGCAGACATGAACAAAATGGCCATGGCCTTTAATACCACAGTGGCAGCTCTGGAGGATGAACTGACCCAGCTGATCCTGGAGGGCCTGATCAATGCTCGTATCGACTCCCACAGCAAGGCAGGGCTGCACTCTCTCATTTTCTCTTCCCTTTTCTTGTTGCTAAGCTAAAATAATTTTAGCTGATTTTTGTATCAATACCTTGAATTATATTTATAATCCACATTTCTCTTGCTTGGTCATTGAGCTCCTTACCTTGAATAACACACATCTTTGGTCAAGATTATGCATTAAAATGTTTCATCGGTGAATTGAAAACTGTGTTTGTAGATCCTGTATGCCAGGGACGTGGATCAGAGAAGCACAACCTTTGAGAAGTCTCTACAGATGGGCAAAGAGTTCCAGAGACGAGCGAAAGCCATGATCCTGCGGGCAGCTGTGCTTCGTAATCAGATACACGTCAAGGTAACAGGGACCTCAGGGTAACGTGTCCTCGCTCTGCTTTGCTCTTCACTTCACCATCACCTGACCATCTCCTTCCCTTCATCATGAGTGTCTCAGAGCTCTTTTGTATTTCTAAGTCAGCATCAAAGTGCTGCATTTATTAAAACAGTTACACGTCTGAGGATGCGTCATTAACATTGTGATGCTTTGAGATGAAGCTGTACAGTATCTTCTAATTGAAATGACTC